GACATGTAACAGTAAAATCACTCCGCTCACAGCTGTTATAATTATAAATACAACCGTTAATTAACCATCTGTCACACTCGCTACATTGACGCAAACTGACACTATAGCGTTACACCAAGAAGATGGATATTTTCCCCAAAATTACATTTGAATTAAATTATGAGTGGTCGTCAGGAGAGGACGAGGAAAAGGAAAGCCAGGACTCTTCTGTGCAGACCTCCAGGTGTGTTTGTGTAACATCAGCTGACCTCGACAAACTGGAGAGGAGCAAAAATTAAGCGAACATGGTCAGGAATTATCAATGATTATCTGATGAGGTACTGATGTGGATGAGGGAGAGTGGAAGCTGAATCCGGCTGTGCTAACATCCAGGTTTGCCAATGTTTAATTAGCCGAACTGGCGGAGCTACATAACATACTTAAATAATTTATTTCGGCCTCATGCCTATGACCGAATCACAGCCGTGACGATATACAGTACAACATCACTCCCTCTCGTGCGATATTGCTTAAATATCTATCCGAATGGACTGCAACCTGTACAAATGTGGAGTAGGTCATCCTGGCATTCTCCTGATCAGAATCAGAAGAATGCCTTTTATTGTCACTGTTTCATTAAATAACACAACAAAATTAGAAGTGCTACTCCTGTAAGGTGCCGACAGTTAAAACCATATCCTCCATACATTTTACCTCACACTCATACATAAAACACAAAAAATTAGTGTAAGAAGTAAAAAAAGAAAAAAAAAAGAAAAAAAAACCTACACATATATATTATTCAGGGCCGTAACGGTACATGTATTTGTGTCAAACCGTGGTACGCAACTTTCGGTTCGACACAACCCTGTACCGAATTATTGGGCGCAGGATATTATTTTATTTTATAGTTTTATTTTAATTCCGTTTTTGCGAGCCGAACCATTTAAAATATCTAGTTCCCTGACGGACATAATTGAGTGACGGACCGAGTCCGACCGTAAATCTCCGCTTTCACTTTGTGCAGTGCATTCTTGCATTTTGACATCATGGCAAGTGAGCCTGACGAACCTGAAGACCCACCCGCAAACCTTAAGTCCTCCGTTCGGGAACACTTTGGTTTCAGGGTGAAATACGAAGATGGAAATAAACAAGTTGAAAGACGAAAGCAGTGTGCCGACACTGCAGAACACCTGTCGGGTATGTACTTGGAAACACGTCTAACATGCTAATGCATCTAAAGCAACACCACCCGAGTTTGAACGTTAACCGGCACGACTAGAAAAAGCAATCTGGTGCAAACTACGATATCGTCGTCGTTTAAAAAGAAAGAGCGTTTCCCTGACCATCACGCTAAAGAAATAATCAACGCCATTGGAGTTGAGTAAAATTGTTTAAGCTGCACTTTAGATAT